GTCGTAGGCGTTTTTGCATTAAATTCGCGTGGTCTTGAGGCTGCCCGTGAGTGGGGCATTTCGACTGGAGCTCAACTTCATCCGCATTGTGCTTTGCTAGAACTGAAGCCGACTGTGCATCCGCTCTCCAGCATCTGCACTGCAAGGTTTGCTCCTGAACGCTTTTGTTTACCTGAGTGTTCAGACGATCCCCGATCCAGCCCGGCGTGTGGAGAGGATTCTTGTGGATGGTTCCTTAGTGATAAAGCCTCTCGGCCCCGACTCGTCTCTGTTGTCTCTCCTTTGGCACGAGAACTGCGGGATGCGCATCCCTGTCTTTATGCTTGACTTTGCGACGAAGTAAGCCAGCTACGCACATGGACCCTCACCACTTCTTGCTTGAGCAGCGCAATGGCCTGCCAGGCTCCCGACTAGGGAAAGTGGGCAGCTAAGGGTGATGGTGTCAGGTTAAAAGTCTTGGCCTCGATACAAGGCGCCTTTTGGTGGGAGATGTTAGTGTGTGAGCATGCATTCGTTGGCTTCTGCGGTTTTTCGATTTCTCTCTCTTCCATCTCGGTCCATCTGTGTAGCCACGGGTACCCTCACCATTCTGAACTTCTAGTTTACGCTTTTAGATTAGCCTATTACGGGTTTGCTTTTCATGGGTTTTGCTCTCTGGAGTGTATGCACTGGGCTCCTTTCTGGGCGTAGGCTATTTGCACGGTCGGCCTTTGAAGCGTTCAGGACAACCTGCATTTCAGCAAGGGACGGGGAGCTGAAGCGGAGGCGATCTTTAAATGAAAACCTCTACAGCTTCATTGCAGACCGCCTGGTACAAGTCGGCCTCATGCCTACCTCGCCGCCGCGCTCTGTCGTAAGCTGCAGTTCAACGGTTTCCAGTTGCATCTATGGGGAGGTGTTTGCATAGCACTAGATGCTGGCATTTCTTTAACTGAGTCAGTGCTGCAGCCTCATGAAGAAGCCTTGGCTTTCATTCCGCCCCAAGCGTATATTTGACACGTTTGTTTTTACGCTTTATTGTTTTCGGATGATCGGGCGCGCGATGCTGGCACTTTGGAATCTTTGGGTGCACACTTAAGGACGAAGAGGTGGGTGTGGATTCAGGGAGATGAAGAGGAGGGACGCGAAGACCTTTCCAAGTTGTAGTAAGCACGGGAGTAAACGCGGACAATGCAAAAGAACATGCGTCGACGGCAACGCGTTTTAGCCACAGTGTCTTTGCACATCTGCAAACGCTTTAGATAGACTGCACCTGCAACATTACAGCAGCTGCAGCCAGCAGCAGCCGCAGGACCTGCAATAGAGAAGTAGAACCACGCTGCAAGCTGTAGCAGCACTAGCAGCAGCCTAGAGGTGGCTACACCACCTGTAGGCCATTGTTGCTGCTTTAGCAGCAACAATGGCAACCAAGAAACACCCGCTAGACCTGCAGGTATACGACATGACCCGGTGAGGCTTAGAGGTAAATGCTTTTTTTTGAGTTTAGGGTTTAGGGGTTCGGGTTTGAAGGGTTCGAATCCCAGAGAATGCAACGTGTCAGTTTGTGGGGATATACTGTATGCAGCTGTGGGCTTTAACAGGTACATTGCTGCAGGCCAGCAAGCGGTATGTTGATACACAAAGCAGAAAAAAAAAACAGAAAAATATCCGTTCAGGTTTATTCGTGAACAAAGCCTCCGACTCGCCGCAGGCAACTGGCTCACGACGCAGATAGCCCGCCCGCGCAACAGTCCACATGACTCGTTTCATCAAGCAAGGAAATGTTGATAAGTCGTGGTGTGAAACCTAGGGTTTAGGGTTTAGTCGTGAGGGTTTGGGGTTTAGGGTTTAGTCACCAGTGTTTGGGACATAAAAGGGGCTTCTCTAACGAGAATCTGCAGCACTAGCCAAGGACTTTCGCGGGTTTCAACAGAATATAACTGCTGAAGAAACTAATTTGCTAAAACTGTTTATTTCTCCCCGGCTTCCTGGGTGCAGCGGCCAAAGGCCCTGGGGCTCGTGTGGAGAGGGGGCGGCTTCTTATGAGTTGCTGCACAGCTTGCTGCAGCTCTTGCTGCAAAGCAATCCCAGACGCAAAGCAAGCGTGTCCAACCTCAATTTCGATGCATTCAAGAGCACTCGATACAATTGCTAACTAGTTTATTGGCCCTCAGTAGCCGCATTCACACGGGCATAAATATATGCACATACCGCGCAGAAGAACTAACAAGTACAATGCCTGTGGCTTCAGGTTTCAGGTCTCTGGATATACACAATCATCAGCCTCTGCCATGAGCACCTATTCCACCCATAATTCCTAGCTGTGTCCAGTAGCAGCGGGTGCTGCTGCTGGTGTCGCAACCGGAAAAAACTGCAGCTACAGCATGTGCACGACACAAAGGTATGAATTGGTGTTTTCTGAACAGTTTAGTGAGTGCACGCAGTATTCTAAAATGCAGCCCTCACTGCTGCAGGCGCTCTATTGCTCCGTGCAGCTGCTGTTGCGGTTGTTACTGCTGCAGTTGCCACCTTGGATGTGTCGTGACACACTTGAAAACAAATTCCTAAATATATGAAAGTTCAAATTGTGATCGGATTTCAATACAGATATCTGTTTGCTGAGAGTTGCAATTGTTGAATACGGCGATGAGCACGACCGATGCTAAGCCTCCTGGCGAAGGAATATTTTCAGCGGAAACCGCCTTCTTTTCCCTTTTTAAACAAATAAATAAAAATATTATTATTCAGAAACAAAACTATTCAACATTTACAACAGGAAGCTCGAAGTGTGCAGCCATAGGTCGCAGTATCGCCCGTGCACAGACAGACGGCGTGTGCCGNCAACAGGAAGCTCGAAGTGTGCAGCCATAGGTCGCAGTATCGCCCGTGCACAGACAGACGGCGTGTGCCGCTGGTGTGTGCAGGTATTGGAGCTGAAAAGAGGAATATTATGATATATATGGAAAAAACAAATAATAAATGTAATTTTAATTGTTTCCCGTCAAAATTTCTTTATTTTTTCTGCTTTTTCCCTCTGCCTCAGGGCGTGTCGCTGCCACGGCTCACTCATGCCGCTCCGCCGGTGTTTCTGTGGGCCGTGACGATTGTGCAACAAATGTCGGGGTCTCGTTGTTTTTTTCTTTTTAATATTCAGGAGTAAAGATGTATAAATTAGTTTCAACAATAAACACCAGCACACACTTCCTCAGCACCTCTCAGCAGCCAGCGATTCATACCCTGTCCCTATCGCCGGCGTTGGAGGCAGCGCCCTACATCAGGGTTTAGGGTTTATGGTTAGGGTTTAGGGTTTATGGTTAGGGTTTAGGGTTTTGAGTTCGTTAAGGTTTCTAAACATTTCAGGCATTAGCATCTGCCTCAGTGATCTCTTCTACTGCGTTTTTCAAGTTGTCTTCGTGCTGCAACCCCTGGTATCCACCGAAGCTAGCGAAGAGGGTTTAGGGTTTAGGGTTTAGGGTTTCGGGCCCTGCAGAAGCAGAAACAAGCTTCTGCTGGCTGCTGCAACCATCCGGCAACAAGTAACAAGTAGCTGTATGTACACCTGAAGCTGCNCAAGCTTCTGCTGGCTGCTGCAACCATCCGGCAACAAGTAACAAGTAGCTGTATGTACACCTGAAGCTGCAGCCGAGATGTCTTCCACTCAGAGCGCCTACAGGGACGCCGCAGAGGCCCACCAGCAACATTTGTCGCTGCAGCGGCAGCAACAGAAGCAGCAGCATGTACAGCCGCAGCAGCAACAGCTGCCGCACGAGCAAGGGCAGCAGCTGCAACAGCTCCAGCAGCTGCAGCAGCTGCAGCAGCTGCTTCAACTGCAGCAGCAAAGCGAAACTGAATACTCCTCCCTCAATAACTCGTTACTTTCTACAGCTAAAGATCTGCTACAGCAGCCGCAGCAGCAGCAGAAACAGCAGCAACAGCAGCACACCCCTGTGGGTACTGCCGGATCGACCGTGCACGAGTTGCTGCTGCAGCTCCAACCGCAGGGGCAGCAGCAACAGCAACAGCAGCAGCAGCAGCAGCAACTTGGGCAGGCTCGAGACCCTGCTAAAGAAAGCAACATAAAGATATTTAAAAGTGAAGCTACAGTAGGGGCACAGCCAGCAGCAACAAACATGGCAGCAGCAGCAGCAACAAACATGGCAGCAGCAGCAGCAACACCTGCTACTGCAGCAAACACAGAAGAACTTGCTGCAGCAATACTACGAGAGAAGACACTGAGACCACCAACATACTCAGCAACTCCAGCAGCAGCAGGCTCATCAGAAGCAGCAGCAGCAGCAGCAGCAGCAACACCGTTATTAACAACAGCAGCAGGATCCGCAGCAGCAGCAGNGTACCAGCAAGAGCCGCTGCTGGCACAGCAGCAACAGCAGCAGACAGACGCGCCTTCAT